TCAACTCCTTTCTCACAAATCTAGTATTTTGACCATTGTAGAAAGCTTAACTTTCTCAATTTGAGATAGACAAGTGGATAGATTTGAAAGATTCCTCCATTGATGGACTAAAATGAAAGCAAGTCAAAGAAAGAGTTTTGATGGGTCACTCTTAAAACCTAACTTCAACTACAAGTGAGTTCAAAACCAATCAAAACAAGCCACATTCTCTCTTCCCTCACCAACCTTTATTTCCCCCACCAACCTTTATTTTGCATGAACAAGACTAAACATCAAAAAGTCACAAACCCTTTTCTCCCACAAAGGGAATAATAGTGACACTTTGTGTTCCCTAAGGTTTAGAATGAGTAACATTATAATCCATTAGAATAGAAAAAGTGACACTTTAATCTCTATCTAGTATCTATGGAGCACTATGTTTTAATTTGAAATTCATAGGGACTACATGTTAGTTATCTTAAATATTAGGGGTCTATGGTAATTATCCCTCTCACACATTTCATAAAAGTAACCCCTCTTATTATTGCATAGGATATCTCATATGATGATGATGATAGCTTTAATTAATTACAAAGTGATTGTGAAAATTGATTTTAGAGAATAAATATTCATATAAAAACTTATTTTTTGTTAAGGGACTTTGAACTTAAAAAAAAAATACAGATTTTGGAGTTGGTCATGCTCCAATTTTTTTTTTTTTTTAATTGAATAGGATCTACCAAATTTAATAGGTTGGGTTTATTTTTATTTATTTGGTTCAATATATTGAGTGATATTAGATTAGGGATTCTCATTATTTTCTTTTAGAAATTTTATATTACTATGTTATGATAACATTGATGTATACACTGTTGAACTTAAAGATTCTTCGAATTACAGTAGAACAAAAAACCCTAAGTTTCTAATTAAGTAATCTTCATAAAATCAAGTTAAAAGAATGATAAGAGCATAAGAGAAAGTAAAGAACACATAGAAATTATAGTGGTTCGGTAATCAATGATTACGTACATCCACTCTTCAGACAAGTAGAAAATATTCAATAATAGAAAGATGCTTCAGAGTTTATAGCTCCTATTTACATGAAGAACCAAGGAAAATTAAATTTACCAATATATTTATGGGAAGTGATTTTTAGTTCCTATTAAGTTGGTTAGTACCTTCACTTTTAAATGTTTACATATATATATTATATATATATATATAATAATATATAATATATATCTATATATAGATATTATATATATATATATATTTTGATAATTTTAAATTTAATAAAAATTACTAAAAATGGCATAAGAATTTCTAAATACACATATTTTGCTTTATATTTTTGTTTAAACTTTAAACTTTAAACCTTTAATTCTAAACCCTAATCCTAAATCTTCTAAATCATTGAAACATTTTTTTCATTTCAAATTATTTATTTTTATTTCAATTTTTTTATTTGTTTAAATTGGGGAAAATAGGTACTAATAAAAGCTCTAATTAAACCTAATTTGGAAAGGCTATTTTTGGTATTAAATGGGGCCGCGCATAAAAGTCACTTCCCTATATTTAATTATTTATTCTTATTAGAAAATAATTAAGGGCTTGTTTAATGTAGAATTTAAATATATTTTTTTGTTTTTGAAAAGAAGGGATACAAGAAATTTTAGGAAATGCATTTAGTAGAGCTGAATTGAAATATTTTCGAAAACAGTTTTTGGATACAATCCTAAAAATTAGAATAAAATTAAAAAAACACTTAAAAGCCTATTTTATAGTTTTCTATAGTTTTTATTAAACAATTTATAAATATTATATCAAGAACAATTTCAAATATTAAAAATATTAAGATATGATTCAAAATTTTGAATCGTAAATTTGTTTTTAAAAATTATTTTCATATCACAAATCAAACGAACCTTGTAAGTATTTATTAAGACTTTGTTTATACTATGACATATAATTTTAAAAATAATTTGTATTAGAATGCCTTCAATGGGTGTGATATTTATGATGAAATGGTCAAAAATTTCTCCAAGGATGAGACTTCTTCATAATTGACCTTCTCAAAATAACAAAACCAACCCATGACCCAATTAGCCCACATAAGGGTATCCCACATTCAACTTCCTACAAAAGGGAAGAAATCTCCTTTTCAATGAATTAAGTGATTGAATGAACCAAACCAAACCAACCCTCAACTCCTTTCTCACAAATCTAGTATTTTGACCATTGTAGAAAGCTCAACTTTTTCAATTTGAGATACACAAGTGGATAGATTTGAAAGATTCCTCCATTGATGGACTAAAATGAAAGCAAGTCAAAGAAAGAGTTTTGATGGGTCACTCTTAAAACCTAACTTCNTTTGGATACAATCTTAAAAATTAGCGTAAAATTAGAAAACACTTAAAAAGTCGATTTTATAATTTTGACCTACTCAAAATAAAAAATTGATACACACAACCCAAACCAACCCATGACCTAATTAGCCCAAAAGGGTATTCCACATTCAACTTCTTATAAGAAAGAAGAAGAAATCTCCTTTTAAATGAATAAAGTGATTGAATGAACCAAACCAACCCTCAACTCCTTTTTCACAAATCTAGTATTTTGACCATTGTAGAAAGCTCAACTTTCTCAATTTGAGATAGACAAGTGGATAGATTTGAAAGATTCCTCCATTGATGGACTAAAATAAAAGCAAGTCAAAGAAAGAGTTTTCATGGGTCACTCTTAAAACCTAACTTCAACTACAAGTGAGTTCAAAACCAATCAAAACAAGCCACATTCAAACATCAAACATCAAAAAGTCACAAACCCTTTTCTCCCACAAAGGGAATAGTAGTGACATTTGTGGTCCCTAAGGTTTAGAATAAGTAACATTATAATCCATTAGAATAGAAAAAGTGACACTTTGATCTCTATCTAGTATCTATGGAGCAATATGTTTTAATTTGAAATTCATAGGGACTAAATGGTATTTATCCTAAATATTTGGGGTCTAGGGAATTATCCTTCACACATTTCATAAAAGTAACCCCTCTTATTATTACATAGGATATCTCATCATATGATGATAGCTTTAATTAATTACAAAGTGATTGTGAAAATTGATTTTAGAGAATAAATATTCATGTAAAAACTTATCTTTTTGTTAAGGGACTTTGAACTTTAACAAAAATACAGATTTTAGAGTTGGTCATGCTCCAATTTTTTTTTTAATTGAATAGGATCTACCAAATTTAATAGGTTGGGTTTATTTTTATTTATTTGGTTCAATATATTGAGTGATATTAGATTAGGGATTCTCATTATTTTCTTTTAGAAATTTTATATTAGTATTATGATAACATTGATGTATACACTGTTGAACTTAAAGATTCTTCGAATTACAGTAGAACAAAAAACCTTAAGTTTCTAATTAAGTAATCTTCACAACAATTAAGTTATAAGAATAATAAGAGCATAAGAGAAAGTAAAGAACACATAGAATTTATAGTGGTTCGGTAATCAATTGATTACCTTCATCCACTCTTCACAGCAGTAAGAAATATTCACTATAATAGAAAGATGTTTACAGAGTTTATAGCTTCCTGTTTACATGAAAAACCCAAGGAAAACCCCTCTGCAAATCACCTAAATTAACCCCATGTGCGTCACCTCTCATACATTCAAATACAATGAATTAATTGACAATTTATACACATAAAAAGTAACAACCAGGCTCACCATCACCGTTTGATTTCATCCTGCGACCTTTAAAGCTCCACCTCAACCATTTTTGCAACAACCTTTCTCTCTCCATAACAAAGAGAGAATAATCAAGAAGAAAATAGAAAAGTGTCGACTTGAAGCCAAGTTAGGTCGCTTAACAAAAATCCCAATTGGGAAATCCCAATAATGTCCCTCTCTTTCTTTAAATTGTCCCTGACCACACATATTAAAAGTTGACTCTACATGGGCACAAATCAAGTGTCACATCAGCACATACACGATGAAATAATTTGATAAAAATTAAGTAATGTCACATAAGATGATGTAACCTTAAAATGAAAATTTTAAGATATTACTCGAAATGTTATTATTTCTCTTTCATAAAAGGGGAAATTCGAATTAATGAGCTCCATATGTCTAGGAACAGGGAAATCACACAATCGTTTATGAAAACCGATTCTATATATTTCACTATCTTAATATATTTGAATTGCAAAAAAGACAAATTTATTATTTATTTTACCATTATAACCCTAAAAAAGTTGACTAGTAATAAGCTTAATGCAATGCTAGTTCATGTAGTTTAGTGTAGACTATGCGATTAAATGCTAAATTATGGTCTTGCATGATATCGCGTATCTAAGTTTTATATTTCAAAGATGGGTAATATGATTAATAAAATTACTTGTCGACAATTACAATTATGCCCATGAAGTCAGTAAGAGAAGTGGAAATGTTTTAAGAAAGCATTTTATGTTAAAATGTATATTAAATGAGCAATAGAAGTGAACATGAGGGGAAATGGGCATTTTTGAAATGAACATGACCTCCACTTCTTAGTTATTTAATTATAAATACAATTACATGTTTATCCCCATGGTTTTGGTTACTCTTAGTAAGGATACTTATTTCAAATATTAGCATTTTGGCCCTTTAACTTAAAACGCTCTTAATTGACTGTTACTTGACTTCAAAATTATACTAGAACGATGAAAAAGCCCTTCTAGAGTTAACAAAATATTCATTACACGATAAAACTAGTATGAATTATGTTTGTTTAAAAACTTTTAAGGGGTATAGTTCGGAATTACATTAGTGTTGTTGGTGTGATGTGATGCATTTTTTGTCATTTGTAAGAAGGGTATTTTCGTCATTTCAATGTAAATTAACAGTCAAACAAACTTCCAAAATGCTTGTGTGAGGAGACATAAATTACAGGGACCAAAGTGTAATTTTATTTTAATTATGTTCATAAAAACGTAATAAAAAACAGATAAATTAATTAAACAAAATAAAAACAGTTGTTAGTTCTGGTAAGCTCTGAAACTTGTCTGAAAATCCCAAAGAAATCGATTATCTTTCTCTCTCTTTCAATCTGAATTCAACAAGACCGCAGCTGACCCACCCGTCCTCCTGCCTGCCTGCCCATGGATCCCCCGCCTCTCATCGACTTAAACGACGACGTCGTGGACGTCGTTTCCTCAGCCACTTCCCACTCTTACACTGACCCCTTCGGCACCAAAATCTTCGACCGCTACTTCTCCTCCTCCTCTTCTCCGACAAAATCAAGATCCTCCTACTCCTCAGACGACGACGATTCATCTCAGCCGTCCAATTCCACCATCAAACGCCTCGACTACACGATGCAATTCTTAGACCGGAAGCTCCACCTCAACGAAGGCGGCGGCAATAACAACAAACATTCTTCTTCGTCATCGACTTATCTTCCGGAGTTCATCGCCAAAGGCGGCGAAATTCCCATGTTTAAACCGCCGCTGCGGGCGGCGGTGCATCCTGGGCGGCCGCCGAGTTTAGAGGTGCGGCCGCATCCGCTGCGGGAGAGTCAGGTGGGGTGTTTCTTGAGGACGATTGTGGGGACGGAGAGGCAGCTGTGGGCCGGGGGAGAGAATGGGGTGAGAGTGTGGGAGTTTGGGCAGCTGTATGAGGAGAGTGAGAGTGAGTGTGAGAGTGGGACAGCGCCGTTTAGGGAGTCAGTGAAGGGATTGCCCGGGGTGACGTGTATGGTTGGGGATGAAGGGAGTGGAGCTGTGTGGAGCGGGCATAAGGATGGGAAAGTTCGGTGTTGGAAGATGAAGATGAATGGGTTTGATGATGGGTTTCGAGAGGCATTCGCGTGGCAGGCCCATCGGGGGCCCGTTCTTTCTCTTTGCATTTCTTCTTATGGTATGATCTTTTCAAGCTCTCATATTTCATTTTTCTAAGTTCAACAACATTTCTTTAACTTAACAAGATGATACATTTTTGTGAAGAGTTAGTATCTCAATTCGACGTGGCTGCCTATGTGTCAGTACCATTGATTGTAGGAAACTAAAACACTCATTATCCTATAATTAACATGGTGCTATAGCGCCAACAATGTTGAGATCCAACTTTGATAAGTATAGCGTTACTCATAGATGGATTAGAACTTTGTGAAAAATATAAATGAATAGATTAGTTAGTTCTTAGTTATTAAATAATAGAAGGGTTAGCAGGAAGAGGTTTGAATAGGAAGGGAAATTGAGGTTCTGGGAAAGAGAAATGCATAGATCATTGTAGAGAATACAAGTTTATTTAGGGTATTGCTACCCAATTTTGTGTCCCAGCTCATGTGGTTATCATTATGAGCAACCATAATAGTTGGCATCCAAATTTGGGGTTCCTGACTGTGTAAGTGGAGAAATATTATTTACTAATGCAAAAGTGGTTTCAGGGTAAATTCAGTATTTAAGAAATTCAAGTTTAGGGAAATAAATAGACGAATGGGAAAAAATACAAATATTTTGATCAATTATAACCTTAATAAATTACTAGAATTCATTTAGTCTCAAGATTGTCCATTGATAGAGGTTTTACTATACGAATAATGTTGTACATTCTAAGTGTTATTTCAATTTTTCTTATCTCAAGCGATGTTTCATTCTCAATGGCATTACCTAATCATTTTAATATTAGCTCATTTTTTACATTAGTGTCAAATAGGATTGCACATAATTTGCGATAGAAAATTTGGGATAAGGCTTGGAATGTGTGACATTTTTCTTACTATACTTTCACGACTAAAAGCTGATGTGGTCATGCTATGTTGGAGGTATAAGTCAAAAGCGCTAAGGAGAGATTTTTATAAAAATTTAAAAAAGAAAAATAATCTTGTATTTTTGTGTTGTAGAATTGTAAAAGTGACCAAACTGTTCTCATAAACCATCAATAGCCTGGAGAAAAAATATTATTTCAGTTGTTACTAGATGGCTACTGTCCTGCCCTATGCCATGTCTATCAGAAACTGGTATTTGCATCAATCGAATATAAAATGTCCTCAAGTAGAATTTGCGGAGGATGTCCTAAAATTAATGTGCCTGGGGTCATCTTCTTCTTACAAACAATGACTTGTTATCTACTTAACACATTTTAAGCAAATTGCAAAGATTTCATGCCTTTTCTTTTTGGTCTTCTTCATTTGGAAGAATAAGAACATGCAATCTTGTGTAATTGTTCTCCACTGACAAACAAATCCTGATAGTTATGCTAAATGTCAGCAGCTAGCATTGTGTTAATTTAGATACTTGAAAATGTAAGTACAATTAATTAACTAAACTCACTTGGTCAAGAATTATTTAGGGCAAATTCCATTGCTGGTTCTTTCTAGAGATGATCTGGCTGTCATGTTTGCCATAAGTTGTTATCATGCTTTATTTTTCCCTCACTTTATTTCTCTTGGTTCAGGGGATCTGTGGTCAGGTTCTGAGAACGGTAGTATAAAGGTATGGATGTGGGAAGTAATTGAAAGAGCTCTATTTCTACCAGAAGAGAAAAGGCACATAGCTGCTTCAACAGTGGCGAGGTCATTTATTGACCTCAGGAGCCAAGTTGCTGTAAATGGATTCAATAGTATATTAACTTCAGATATTAAGAACTTGTTATCTGATAAGTGTAGAGCAAAAGTGTGGAGTGCTGGATTTCTGTCATTCGCTCTGTGGTATGTCTAAGTTCTTTATAGTTATGAAGTTCAATAGTGAGCTCTTCTGCATTGTTCTTCATCGGAATATGTTTTACTCTTTATAAACTACATTGTTTTTGAAGCAACATGTTTATTGAGTTGAGATAGTTCTACCTTGGATTTGTCAACCATACAACATTGTTAAGGGTACAATTAAGGGCAATAGCAATCATATTGTATGAATGCATTTGATGTAATTTTCTGAAAGAAAATGGTTTCCTTTTGAAAGTAGGTCATGTTTTGGGCACAGAAGGAATAGTTTATCAGGCAGCTTATAGATTATACATGTATTTCACCTTTTGAAAGCATATATTTGTGATTATTTTGAGTTCATGAAGTCTTTTCTTTTCTTTTTTTTTTTTTTTTTTTTTTTTTTTTTTTTTTAATATGTGATAAAGATTTTTTTTTCATGAAAATCTTATTGTTTATGTTTCGGTAGTGTTGATTGTTTTATGCTAAGAGTTTGCAAACCACAGGGATGCTCGTACAAGGGAGTTACTGAAAGTATTCAATGTAGATGGTCAGATTGAGAATCGAGTGGATATGTCATTAGTACCGGATTTTGCAATGGAAGATGAGGTCAAGATGAAGGTTGTCACTAGTTCAAAGAAAGATAAAATGCAGGGTTCCTTTGGTTTTTTCCAACGTTCACGTAATGCCATAATGGGAGCAGCTGATGCTGTTCGTCGCGTAGCAGCAAAGGGTGGCTTTGGAGATGATACTCGAAAAACTGAGGCAATGGTCTTGACGATTGATGGAATGATTTGGACTGGATGTGCAAATGGCTTAATTGTGCAATGGGATGCAAATGGAATTCGCTTGCAAGATTTTCAGTATTGTTCTTCTGCTGTTCAATGTTTATGTACCTTTGGGTCAAAGATATGGGTAGGTTATGTGAGTGGAGTTGTCCAGGTATTGGACCTTGAGGGTAAACTGATTGGAGGATGGGTAGCTCACAGCAGTCCTGTGATAAAAATGGCTATAGGCGCTGGTTATGTTTTCACCTTGGCTAATCATGGTGGTATACGGGGTTGGAATGTCACATCCCCTGGATGTCTTGATAATACATTGTCTTCAGAGTTGGCTGGAAAGGAGTTTTTATATACACGGATAGAAAATTTGAAAATATTGGCTGGTACATGGAATGTTGGACAAGGGAGAGCTACTACTGACTCACTTATATCATGGCTGGGTTCTGCAGCTTCAGATGTTGGCATTGTTGTTGTTGGATTGCAAGAAGTTGAAATGGGTGCTGGTTTTCTTGCTATGTCTGCTGCAAAAGAAACTGTAAGATATCGTCTTCGCCAAAATTTCTTATCAAGTATGTTGACATATTACATCTATGATCCTTAAAATTTTTAAATCCTTTGAAGAATGTGAAAGGCTTTTCAAGCTTACTGTAAAATCTGATATTCTTCAAGCTACATAGGGTTATATGGGTTCTGTTAGAGTTAGAGGAATATGTCTCGTAAATTCCTTTTTCTGTCAAAGACATGGAAGTCTCTTAGTTCACTTGGTGTTATGCTGTGGTGTGCGAGCATGGGTCATTGTAACTTTTCTTTTCTTTCTTTCTTTCTTCCTTTTTTCCCTTTTTGGCAAACCTATGGGTCAAAGATACTGATGTGGAACAAGTTTTAAAAATTTTGAACCATTATCTGCTGATCTGGGAAATGATGCCTTTAATGTCTATGTATGAAACTGCAAATCTCTACTGTGTAGAGAGTACTCCTTACTAACTGGGAAATGCCTTTTATTTTAACTAAAGAAATTTGTTGGTAGTGGGACTTTGAATATTCACACAGTGGCGGATCCAGCCACTTTTTGGCCCACCCTCAAATTTTTTTTTTTAATATTAATATGTAAATTTATATATTTTGGCCCACCCTAAAAAAAATATTAATGGACAAAAATAGTAATGTATAATAAATTTTTATTTTGGCCCACCCTAAAAGAAATTCCTGGATCCGCTACTGTATTCACATGTATTCTTTCTTTGATAATTTTTGAAGGAAATGCTGCTTACTGTTCTTTAGTACATATATATTTTTCTTTTATTTTTTAAATCCCTTAAATCTATAGGTAGGACTTGAGGGGAGTGCTGTTGGACAGTGGTGGCTGGATGTGATTGGAAAAACATTGGATGAAGGGTCAACTTTTCAACGTGTTGGTTCTAGACAGCTGGCAGGATTACTTATTGCTGTGTGGTGAGTTGTCTATTATAAGAAGACTTGGATGAGCTTTATTTATTTTTTGACAGCTTGGAGAATACCCTTTATTTTTATGTGTTTCTTTACAATGACATGTGGATAGTGGATTCTATTATTATGAGTAGCTCAAACAATTGCATTATATTTATGTTATACAAGGCTGTTCATTTCCTTTTTTTTTTTTTTTTCCCTTTTTCAAATCAATGTTCAGTATGACTGCAACTTAACTTTATTATTTTTTATTTCTTGTTTTTCTATTCTGTTCTTACTGCTGGAAATTTTTCTTATCGGGGTAAAGAAAAGGGGTGGGGTGTTATATATGGTGATGATGCTTAATGCTGTCCTAAAATACATGTAAAACAATGGCTGATTCAATGTCCATGTGATATCAAAACTCCCTATTATGCATATGAACTCACCAATTTCTTTTTTAGCTTAACCAATTTCCCTTTTTTTAGATTCTGTTATCAATTCTGGTTGAGTTACTCTAATGAGTTAATACTTTTCTTTTAGGGTTAGAAATGATCTTAGAGCTTATGTTGGAGATGTTGATGTTGCAGCAGTTCCATGTGGGTTTGGGCGTGCTATTGGTAATAAGGTATGCCAACCATGGCATATTCTACTGATTTGCTCTTTCTGATGGTTGGAAATTGTATCGCTTTCCTGTCATGGTTGTTTAAGAATTACTAAAGAGAAAAACTATGATTTTTGATTCTGTTAAATTTTATGGTGAGACACTTGAATGCAATACATAAGGTGACTGCTTTGCCATTTTTCAAAAAGGAAATTGATGATGAGGGGAGAATGAAATTAGTTAATAAGAGTTTTGAATTATAAACTTTTTTGTCTTCCTTTATCAGAAAAATTTCTGTAGCATTCACTAATTGAAGCATTCTCTATTTCATATACTTCTTAACTGAAAAGCTGCCTTAAAAAGTAACAATCATTGAAGTATGGTATTACAAGCCTTACCTGTATTACTTTCATAAACATAATTAAAAAATGTCGCCATGTGATAATGATATAAAAAAATGAATTTGATTGTTCAATTGCATTGTAAAATTACCTTTTTGTCTTCTTGGACGCAAAATTCATTAATATTATCCAAAATACATAATATTGACATAATTTACTGTCAAAGAAGTAGCCAGAGTATTATCATATTCTGGCATGCGAATTATATGGTTTAGTTTTTGTAGTTCCATCTGAACAATACTTATTATCTATGGTTATTTCCTTTTTTCATTGTTTTTGTTGTTAACATGGCTGAAGTTTGTTCCAGGGTGCTGTTGGCTTAAGAGTTAGAGTGTATGATCGGGTCATGTGCTTTGTCAATTGTCACTTTGCTGCGCATTTAGAAGCCGTTAATCGTCGTAATGCTGACTTTGATCATGTTTACCGGACAATGAACTTTTCCCGACCATCTAACCTTTCCAGTGCCTCAGCTGGTATGGTGCCATACCTGTTATTTTTGTGCACGCTTGCCTGCTCAATGTATTTATTATGGCTTGTTTATAGATCTGGCTTGCCATTGGTCCTTTCTGTTGCAGCTGGGGCTTCGTCTGCTGTTCAGATGCTTCGCAGTTCAAATGTACGTATATAATTTGATTGGTATAGTTGCTACGTTAATCTTAAAGTGCTTTTTATTTCACATTTTCTTTCACTTAGTGCAATCAAGAGATTATGATTTCACAGGCTATGAGTGGCCAATCTGTAGAAGGAATGCCTGAGTTATCTGAGGCAGACATGTTCATTTTTCTTGGCGACTTTAATTACCGGCTTGATGGAATATCTTATGATGAAGCAAGGGATTTTGTTTCCCAAAGATGCTTTGATTGGCTTAGAGAAAGGGATCAACTCCGAGCAGAAATGGAAGCTGGGAATGTCTTCCAGGGAATGAGAGAAGCTGATATTAGATTTCCTCCCACGTACAAGTTTGAAAGACACCAAAATGGTTTAGCAGGTACTCTTTCCCATAAAATGTTTGAGTTGATCACGGATTGTGTAACGAACTTTCTGGAGTTTGAACATTAAATGATTTCTGCTGGATAGTTCATGCCCCATTAATAAAAGTCCCATGGAGTCATGGTGATGAGACTTTTTTTGTTGGCCCAAAAACACACATGTAATTAGACCCATTAGTAATTTTTTTCCTTGACTGTGAGAGTCTAATTATTATAAATGAAAACTGAAAATCGATAAATAATTTGAGATCAGTGTTGTAAAAAAACATTTGAGAGATTAGTAAGATGACTGCTGGGAGTAATTGATTGTTATGTTGATGGAAGTGATAGGTAATGCACTATTTTGTTGAGAGTTTTTTCTGTAATTAGCTTTGCTAAACCTTTCTGGTCTTGTGTTAACTGTCTTTTTACAGGGTACGATTCTGGTGAAAAGAAGCGCATTCCTGCCTGGTGTGACAGAATTTTATACCGTGATAGCCGCTCAACTTTGGGATCTGAATGCAGTTTAGACTGTCCTGCTGTCTCTTCAATTCTACAGTAAGTTTTCACAGTAGTGTTGTTTTCTTCCTATGCATATGATCAACTGATGTCTAGAGGATATGCATATTGCCTTGAATAATTCTTGCGACCTATGTTTTTTGTTTATATTTTTTTGGACAGGGCCCATTGTGGATCACATTTTCAGCACTACAATAGCACAATGAACACACTCTTTATACGTGCATATTTTGCAGTGCACACATTCATCTTGTCCCTTTATTTTTTATTTTTTTTTAAATTTTGTGGAAAGACTAACATCTCTACTTTAATAGGTATGAGGCTTGCATGGATGTAACGGACAGTGATCACAAGCCAGTCCGTTGCATATTCAGTGTTGATGTTGCTCGAGTTGATGAGTCAGTAAGGAGACAAGAGCTTGGTGAGATAATGGAGTTGAATGAGAAAATTAAATTCATTCTTGAAGATTTATGCCAGATTCCGGAAACTATTGTCAGTACAAACAACATTATCATTCAAAACCAGGACACTTCCATTCTGCGTGTAACAAATAAATGCGGGGAAAATGATGCTTTCTACGAAATAATATGTGAAGGTCAGTCCACCGTAAAGGAGGATGGACAAGCATCAGATCGTTATCCAAGAGGGTCGTTTGGCTTTCCTAGATGGCTTGAGGTATGTTCTTTGCTTCCAAAAAACGTGAATATTTCCATTCACCTCTTAGAGCTCCGGTTTACTTACCTATAACTATTTAGATATCTTTAAGAGAACAAAGTTACTCTTGCCATTTAACCCTTGCCTTTTGCTGTTTTATTGAATCTGATTTTAAAGTTTATTTGTATATTTACCTCCATTACGACCAGGTCATACCAGCAACAGGCGTTATCAAACCAGATCATACAGTGGAATTGTCAGTTCACCATGAGGACTTCCAGACCCTTGAAGAGTTTGTTGATGGAGTGCCACAAAATTGGTGGTGCGAAGACATGAGAGACCAGGAAATTATTCTGATAGTTAAGGTTCGTGGCAGATACTCACCTGACACAAAAAATCATCGTGTCCGTGTGTGCCACTGTTATTCAGCAAAGACGAAAAAGGTTGATGATAAACCTAATGAATCTGGACAAGTTCAAGGAAATGTCCTTCCCCGGTCTGACTACCAACGTCTTAGCAGTTCCTTCGAATTTGTTGATCAGATGCGAAATTTGCATAGTCTTTAGAAGCAACAATGACATTTATCTGCACAAGATTGCCTGCAACTGTTGATTACTCTATTATGAATATTAGCATGCTTTACTGAAGCGATTGACTCCATGTCAACGAGTATCGTCATTGTACATAGCGAGGATTTGGGTTGCGTCTTACGCCTTTCAGATGTTTCATTCAGCCTTCCTGGTGCCAATTTTTGAACGTCTATCGATTCTTCAGCTAAGTATGAGCCGTTCTTGTAGTAATTTCTTGGGATTGAATCGGACTCGGATGCGCAAATGTACAGAAATAGCAAACACATCAAGCAGCTGGGAGGTGTGAATTTTGTTTTTTTCTTCAAATTTTCAAATCCTAATTGTTGGAGTAAATTATACGATTAACAGAGTAAAGAAGAAAAATATGTAAAAAGAACACTTAAAAGTTCTGTGCTTGTGTTTATGTTGTTGTTAGTTATTACTGTTATAATACTGTAATCTTGGGTTTGTTAAATGAAATTATTCATTAAGAAATTAATTAATTAATTATGTCTGTAATATTACATCATTTTGTCAAAATCATTATTTTCTTTATTTATTATATCACATTCTGTTGTGAAAGGCAAAATATAATTAATACAATTAAAAAAAAAAAAAATTAAATGGCCAAGGCCTTGACCATGTTCGACGAAAAGCTCAGGGTGGATTAAGAGTCTGTTTGGTTGGGTTTATTTTCTAGTCAAAAGAGCTTATTTAAGGGAAGTGATTTTAACCTGCATCGAATTGATCGATATTCCCTTTTCTTAAAATTATTTTTGTTTCGGCAAGTTTAGCCTTAATGACATGATAATTTTTAAATACACTAATTCTCTATTTCAGATTTTAATCATTGTTTTAAAAACCGGACCGGAGGATAACCCGTTCTGCTGGTCGGATCACGGTTCAACCGGTTCAATCGGTTAGACCGCTGGTTGGACTGGTGACGTCATCACACATCATGATGACGTTAACACGTTTTAAAATCATACTGTTATATACTAAGTGCTAATCTAACATTTCAAATTCCTCTTCCAGCAAGTTGAGTAATTAGCAGCTGGCCTCCTAACCATTACAACTGACTTATTGAAACTTTATTTGTATTACAACAACTACAAGATTAAAATATTTACAGCACCCACGTAAATAGGTTGTGTAATGGCAACAAACTGGGATTGTACATTGTCCCCAATTCTTTACACTAAAGCATGAACAGTTTATGGTTTCCAAATGATAAAAGGGATGAGTAAAATTTCAAAATCTGGATTCACACTATTTCAAAACAAAAGCAAAAATGATAAAATAAACATAAAGTAGATCTTTTTATTTGCATATAAAAGTTATACAGTGGCTTGAATTCTAGTTTTGAAAATGCCTCTTATTAATACAAATAAAATTATATGACAGCCAAGGCATAAATAATTCATAAGTTTGGAAATCACAGAGCTTGAAGGACATCCAAAGACACACCTTCAAATGATTGAATCCATATGGCAAAATGTTACCAAAATTCACAAACAATCCACTATCTGCAACGCATCATTCAGAAAGGGTAATATGAGAGTACTAAGATTGTAATATATACTTCCCATACATCACTTCCACCCAAACACCAACAGCACCAAACAAAGTCAGAAACAATTCCATGCCAAAAATAATCTCCATACATCACTTCCACCCAAACAGCAACATCACCAAACAAACAGTTGCTTAAAAATTGTACAATAAAATATCCAGTACTGCCCGGATAATGGGGTGCGATTTCTGTTAATAAATTGTAGCTCAAACAGTCAAACTTACTCTCTATTAAAAAAGGACAAAGAGAAAGCACACATTTTAGATTTCACAGCAAAGGTCCCGAAGATTACAACTCACCTTGAATCAAGTTGGATTGTCAAGACATGCATGCCAATCAGCCTTCATGCATCGATTTTCGGCGAGGTAGGAATGGGTTGTTGATTTCCGGCGAGGGAGGAACGCGTCATCGCGATTTCCGGGGAGGGAGGAACGCGTCGTTGCGATTTCAGAGACTGGAGTTGCGATCGATTTCAACAACGAATGGTAGTGATTTCAACAAGGGATGGTTGCGATTCGTGATATTTTTCTGATTTTCGCGATTTCATTCAAATTTTTTTAAAGATTTTTGCGCGTAGAGGAACTGAGGAAGAAGAAATGCGCAGCGCAAAGGGAGAAAGTGAGAAATTTAGGGTTTTTTCATTTTTTAGATTGGGTCGGTTTTTCTTATGGTCCGGTTGGACCAACGATCCAGCACTGTTTACACGGTCCAATGACGGGTTAAAGCAGTTTATTACGCAATAACGGGTTTTATGCTGACTCGAACCGGAAACGTGACCGGTTCACGGTCCAATTGGTTGGACCGGCCAGTCCGGTCCGGCTTTTAAAACAGTGATTTTAATTTTAATTTTTAACCCTTAATTCTTACATAAACCTAAATCTTAGTTTTCTGAAGCATTGAAACATTCTTTTAAACCCTAAATAACATGGACATGTATTACTATAAGCCAGGGGCAGAGCCAGGGAATTTATACTGGGGGAGAGCCGGAGAGGGGGCCAAAATGGCATGTTGAATGAATTAAGGGCTGAGTGAGGAATTAGGAAGTTATGCCATGGGGGCCAAAGTGTGAAATCCAGAAACTGGGGTAGCCAGAGAAAACTTAATATAAAGGGACGAAAATGATACCTTTCTATATAAAATTAAAAAAAAAAAAATTTTGGGAGTTGGCCAACCCCAGCTTTCATGCAGCTTCTTCCTGACTAAATTATGGAAAAAGTAATCACATATCTAGATGTATGTGAATCTGAAGAAGAAAAAAAGGTAGTTTTAAATTTGAAATTGGGAAAAAAAAGATATAACTAAATAAAAAAATATAATTAAGAAATTGAGAAAAAATAGTGTTAACAAAAATCCTAATTAAGTTTGAAATTAAGGAAAAACGGCGTAAATAAAAACCTTAATTAAACTTAGATTTATTTTCGGTATTAAAAAGAATTTTTTAAAATATAATAGAGGTGTATTTAGCAATAAGGGATAATGATCAATTTGATGGGGGCTAGGGATAGCAATGGGGCGGCGGGGCCGAGGATCCCATTCCCCGTCCCTGCCCCATCCAACGGGAAAAATCGCCATTGGGATTATCTAATGGGGGCTAAAGATCACTTTACTTTATTAAAGCTTTAAGCACTTTTGAAAATTTTTAGATTATTTGATTGCATTTTAAATGTGTTTATAGAATTTTAAATAAGCTATTTTACGGTTTATTAGAGAAGCTCACATTTTGATTTTATTTAGAGTGTTGAAATTTAAAAAATATCCTTAATCAATTTTATAAATTTATTCTTGTCTATTAAAACCCTTTATGGTAAATTAATATTGGAAAACTCTTTTACATTTTTCTTAATCAAAGAACTATCAAAATTTTCTTAAAAGCTTCACTCATATAAACTCTATTGTAATAAAGTCTTATTCCATAAGCTTTACTCGAAGAAACCATACCAAATAGATCCTAAATCCTTTTCTAGATTAGTCTATAGAGGTCTTATTGAAAACAAAGAAATCTAGTAAATTATTTCTACAATAAACTATATTAATAAATCATAAAATAATTGTAAAATTGCAAAGATGACGATGTAACTTTTAAAGTGGAAACACGACAATGCAAAAAAAATTAATGATTTCTTTTTGGTCCATCCCTGTCAACAGACAGTTGAACTTGGAACCATTAATAATCGTAAGTCCAATTTAATTGATGAGTTAGCTGCTGCTACAGCATATATATATATATATAAGAACATTCGTTAGACTTTGATAGTTAGCTGGAGTAAGATTTTATATAAATTATGAAGGTTCATTTCGATTTCAATTATCTAATCTGAATAATTTTCTCACTGTTGTTGTTGCTTGGTGAGATCGATGGACATGGCAGTTGTAGAGAACAAGCAAGTGATATTCAGGGATTATATAGACAAAGAGAGAGTTCCCAGAGAGACAGACATGGAAATCAGAATTGGTGAAATTAAGCTCAAGGCACCAAAAGGGTCTGGATTGTTTTTGGTCAAGAATTTGTATCTTTCTTGTGACCCTTACATGAGAGGCCTCATGACCAAGTTCCAGGGCTCTCCTCATCCTCCTTTTGTCCCCGGAAAGGTAATAATCTACTATGAATTTTGTCAGGTCCATGCTTAAACACCATTGAGGCCTATGCCCCTTAAAATGGTAAAACCAGTACCGGAAAACACAACTTCTGCTATGTGCAGGTCGTTCTCGCCACAAAATTGGACACCCGCAGTTTGCCAGCGGGCTACCCTTGTTTAACCTGATTTTTTTTTTCTTTTTTTAAACGAATCCAGTAGTATTTAAGTGACAAATTTAATGTCAAAATATCCTGACAACGGAATATTGTTATATATGTTTGTTGAACTGGAAAACGTTATGAAGACGACAGCATATCTACGAATGATATTTAATAACATATGGTGTACATTTTGATGAACAGGTGATTCAAGTATTCGGTGTGGCGAAGGTGGTGGATTCTGATAACCCTAATGTCAAGCCAGGAGATATGATTTCAGGGTTCACTGGTTGGGAAGAATACAGCTTGATAAAGAGACCTGAGCAGCTTACAAAAATTGAACCAGATGACGAAATTCCTCTCTCCTATCATGTTGGTCTTCTCGGTACGTTTTGATATTTAATTTTTGACGTTCGAAATATATTCATCAAGTCATTGAACAATAATATTTTCACGGATATCACAGGCATGCCTGGTTTTACGGCTTATGCTGGATTTTAAGAGGTTTGTAAACCTTAAAAAGGCGATTAGGTTCTTGTCTCCGCCGCTGCCGGAGCTGTTGGGCAACTTGTTGGCCAGCTTGCTAAGTTGCACGGTTGCTATGTAGTTGGAAGCGCTGGAAGTAACGAAAAAGTAATAATCTGCATGCATGCCGTGGTTGAAATATTTTTGAGAACTATTTTGAAATACAATTCTAAAAATTACTTTAATTTAAAAAATTAAAAATAAAAATACATTTTCTCATTGTTAAAATGATTTAAAAAGAGAGGATATTTTTACTGCAATACAAAAGTTTAATCCCAAGGGATTGGCTTAAACGGTTAAGGAGGTTTACTTCATTTCTTGAGTTTTTGGGTTCAAATTTTGGGACCACCTACCACAAATGGTTTATCTGGTCCTTTGTGTTTATAGGGTATTTAATAAACCTCGGAGATTAGTTCACTTTTTTTCAAACACCTCGATTACCAAAAAAAAATTTAAAAGTTTATGAAATTCTATTAACTTCACTTGTTTTTTTTTTTTTTTTGGTTTCATGTGATCATAATATATTTGGGTTATTTCTTCTACTCTTCTGATGAGTAATTATATATATGCCATAGGCTCCACTGAAAGCTAATATTAATCTTAATTTGTCTTTTATTTAGGTTGATGTCCTAAGAAATAAGCTTAGTTTT